GGGGGGGGGGGGGGATTCACTTATGGGTACAGTTAATGAATAGGTTTTTCTGCTGTTTGCTGATACAAACTTATAGCTGGTTTGAATGACTGCCTAATACATTTTGGACAACTGTATGCACAAAACCAGCACATAAATATGAACATTGATAGATCGTATCACTGTCCCCTGCTTAATTTCAATATCTCCGTCACTATTTCAATATGACAGATGATGAGCTGGTCTATGGAGACTGCCATGTCACCTGACACTCTGTGGATATACTGTCATTCACACTCCCACATAAGTTGATTCACTGTAGCACATATCATGTTCATATTAACCCTATCCGTACGTCGTGTTATACTATCATATCCATACGACATGGGGTACTCTGTGCCCCACTTTCCGAAGAGGAAATTTACTTGTAAATCCGATCCGTACACTGTGGGGTAACAAAAGACCCCAAGTATTAGAACCCACAGCTGGAATCGAAACGCTTTACGAACCAAGATGGTGGCAACTAGTTTTGTAGATATCTATGCATGGAGGGTTCAACTGGCTAACACTAATGTCGCTCAAGCCTTCATATTTCACAGAAAGTTGGGTCTAAAATTAGGTCACTCTCTTAGTTCTAGAACTTCGCTTTCTTAGATCTAGACCTAATGAGGCGGGGCGCAACTTTCTCAAGGTAGGTAATCGAGTCCATTTTTCTGTGAATCGTAGACCTAATTTTGCATACATCTAGCATTCGAATGTCATTTTTTCTTCTTATGGTAGGATTCTATTGTTGTTGTTGTTTCACATTAATTAAATCAGATTTAATTATCATAGAAACCTAATTTGTCTCAACTCCGCTGGTTATTTGTGAACTCTCTTGACTAGAGCTTGGGTTCTTTGGTGTGGTTTTCTTCTTCTTTACGACTTTGCTATCGTCGTTTTCTGCTCCTTCCACTCATACAATTTTACATTTAGCACTCTCTCCTTTTCTTGGCTGTCCCTGAAATGGCTTACAGTATATCATCATCTATCAAAATGCTTCCATCTTAACCATCTTGTTTAGTGTACTTACGACCTTAGACCATGCATCAGAATAACATTGAGTGTGTATCTAGCTTACGATTATTATTGTTTATATTGCTGTTCATTTATATTATGCATGTGATTGTAAGCCTATTTGTGTGTGCATGTGTGTGCACGTGTGTACGTGTGTGTATTTGTGTGTGTGTGTGTGTGTGCGCGTGTGTGTGTGTGTGTACTCGTGGTGGAACACCAAACTAATGTGCCAGGATCTGGACAATAAAGATGTATCTTATCTTATCTTATCTTATCTTATCTTATATGCCGATAGTAATGTAAAGCCCACAGGACCCGTCAACTCTGCTGCGTTTTCCTGGGATTTTTCTTCATTGTCCTGTGCTCAGTATCTTCTCCCTCGTTTCCCATAGTATCGTCCTGCGACACTCACTAGCCACATCACTCTCCTGTCCATTGTATCCATAGTCATCATCACTCCTTTCTATTGCATCCACAACCGGTTTTTGATACTGAGCGAAGATATTTTCTCGCTCCGTAGAAAAAGAAACTATTTATTTTTCTCTCTCTCATTATTACTTTTCTTCTCTCTCTATCTCTCTCTCTCTCTCTCTCTCTCTCTCTCTCTCTCTCTCTCTCTCTCTCTCACACGCTCACAAAATGTGACGCCAGCTAAGTTCGAACCCGGGCAATCCACATAAATGGATTCCCAGACGAGCGCCATACGAGTAATATACATAATTTATACATATATAGATTCATCCTTCCCACCAGTAGATCTAGGTTTCATAAAAGTATCGATACTTTTTCAACTGCTGAGTGATGCAGTGTGTATCAGACCTGCCAACAATAATCAGTCTCAATATAAAATAATATAGGATGATTAGGCCGTCAGATGTCTCCAGCTCAACTGCAAGAGTGGGAACAATACCCAACAGAAACCGAGATGGAAAATTTGGATGTAGCGGTCACTAGTACTCCATGCAAAGGATGTGTTGGGGTCGTCTGTTACCCCGCTAGAGGTATGGATTAGAATAACTGAGTGTTTATTCTCTTTGGAAAGTGGGGGCACAAATGACCCCACCGGGCACAAAAACGGTTGTTTTAAAATGTGACCACTCTGGTCAAAAAGATACATTACCAATTGCGATTTGCTTTGCATAGCAGTCTGTCAAAATGATTTTTTGAGGATTACTGATAGTTTCAAAGAGATCTTCTCCGAAGTATTCTAAAAAGTAAAAATACAACCCCTGGGGTACAAAATGACCCCCGCCGTACAGATAGGGTTAATTAATAATAAATAGCATTTGTATAGCGCATATCCCCGCTCAACAGCAGGCTCTATGCGCTTTACACTATATTATTTGGACAGGACTGCCCAGTATATGATAGATACCGGACTTCAAGTGTGATGTGATCGAGAAAAAGCAGATAATCATATTCATTTTCTTACACACTTCTGCTTACCCTTATATCTCAATGTCCACACTTGGACACGTGTGATAACAAGATCTTGGTGCTAGGGATAAACCATTTAATCCACTGTCTTTCTATTGTTGTTGCACTGTGCTCTAACACACATGCACACACACACACACACACACACACACACACGCAC